CCCCGTCAATGCATTCTTTTTTTTAAAAAAAATGTTTTTTTCGCCAAACAGGCTGAGTGGACCCTGTCCGCTCGGTCTCCAGTTTTTGTAGGTGGAGCTGCATCACACATTTCGCCTTCCAACCACCATCGAGCCCATCCACGAGCACCGAGTCGCCGCCACGTCAGGATGGCCAAGAGCAATGCGCGCAAGGCTGCCGAGGCCGGCGGCCCCACAACCAAGCCCGGCGCTGGCAAGGGTGCTGCGGGCTGGGTGGTCCCCAAAACGGTAGCGCATCCAGAACACCATCACACGCTCAATCACCTCGACCAGGTCGCGACGTTCTACTCGGTTCTTTCGTCTGCTTTGGCAGGAGAGCAAGGTGCGGGAATGGTAGGGCTGCAGGGCGAGATGGTGCGGTCGGCACGGACGTTATCGCGCAAGGCGGTGATCCGGCTGGATACGTCGGTCAAGCGAAGTGCATGCCCAAAGTGCAGCACGGCGTGGATCGAGGGATTGACGCTGGCCGTCAGGTGCAAGACTTCAGGTCCGCACGACCATGTGCTGAAGAAGCAGTGCAGAGTCTGCGGGACGAGTGTCAGGATCCCCGCTCCTAATACGATCGGTCTGCCACCACACACGAGGGTGCTCGACGAACCCCAGCAGGAGGCCAAGGCGAGCGGAGACGGCGACCAGGGTAAGGGAGAGAAGAAGCAGCGGATGTCGCAGAGACAGCGACGTCACGTTGCGGTACTTCAGCGAGACCTGCTGAATGGTAGCAAGCCGTCGACCAGCGCGCGACTGTCCCGTCGTCAACGCAGTCAGCTTCGCCAAGCACGCCTCTCCCGGAGGATGGAAGCTGCACCATTGCCAGCGCCTCGAAAGCCACGCTCTCCTTCCAAGCCCAACACCACCGTCGATCCACTGTCGTCGATACAGACCGAAGCTCAAGATGCAGACTCGGGCCTTGGGCAACCAAGGGAGGCAGGCGTGCGCGTGCATCTGCCACAGTTCAATGACCGAGTCGCCGGCACTGGCTGGGACGACGCGCTTGTCACACTCTCCTCGCTGCCGTCCTCGACAGACAGCCAGAGCCTGGATGTGTTCACGGCAGCAGCACGCGCGAGGGGCGACCACACGCTCGTCCGTGCCATTGGCAAGAACGGCTCCCTCGGCCCGCAACTTCCCTAGAAACCCTCTCAGACTTGCGTCATTCTTATACCCCAGTTCAGCACTGCAATGACACACCAAGCGAAGCATGCAGACGTCTCTTTACTGTGATCAAGGGCGCGTGTCTTGTTGGGATAGACTGAGGAGATTAAAACCTGACGGGGAAACGGGGTGGCGGGGAAGACTGAAAGGAGAAACAACGAGATCCAAAAGCGAGCCGGGATGTGCAGCTTGACGCTTAATAAACAAGAGAGAGAGAGAGNGGGGAAGACTGAAAGGAGAAACAACGAGATCCAAAAGCGAGCCGGGATGTGCAGCTTGACGCTTAATAAACAAGAGAGAGAGAGAGAGTAGAGATAAGGGGAGCGAGAAGCGCAAGGCAAAGTCCAAGATGAAGCGGGCAAGGCCGCGGGTGGGTCACATGACGATGCACTTGGACGGTTGTGGCTCGGGACCGCCCTCCTGGGTGCCCTGCTCGGTCTCGCCGAGCATGGCCTCGAAGGCCTTTGCGACGTTTGCGTTGTGACGCGCGCTGACCTCGATCCAGGCGGCCTTGAGCTGCGAGGCGAGCTGTTTGCCTTCGGCCTCGGACACCTGACGCTGTACGTGAAGATCGCTCTTTTGGCCGACGATGACGCAAGGCACGGACTCGGTACCGGTATAATTGAGGATCTTGTCGTGGACGGTCTGTACCATGTCGAAGCTGTTGCGCGAGGCGATGCTGTAGACGAGCATGTAGCCGTGGATGCCGATGGCGTGTTTGGAGTTGAGGATCGAGTACTCGTCCTGGCCTGCGGTGTCGATGATGTCGCAGTCGTATTCCTGGCCCTTGTGCGTGATGGTCTTCTGGAAGATGTTCTCGATGGTTGGGTAGTACGAGTCGACGAATGCGTCCTCGACATAGCGCACGATCAGCGACGACTTGCCTGTGTGTGCACAGAAACAAGCGGGAGGAGTGGATTCAGTCAGCTGTCGCGCGGCATACCGCCAGGATTGAGTTCGAAGAATGCTTACCGACGGAGCGCGAGCCAAGGACGGCGATCTTTCTCTTCTTGCGAAGCGTGGAGCTGCCGGGAGCGGACATGATGGCAAAGGAGGGCGAGCTAGGTGAGAGACGAGGGGTATGCCTGGGTGTGAGGGACTTGGCGGGTCGACAAGGAAGAAATGCGACGCAATGGTAGGGTACTGGAGAATGAACGAGCGACGATCGGGCTTGTAGAACGAACGAGGGCGGGCGCTACGTGATGGTGGGCAGCGATCAAGCGAGTTCGGGTGGAGTGGAGGCCTCGCGATGGATGCTGATGGCCACCGATGCGTGAAGCGACGCGAACTGAAACGAAAGTTTGCCAAACAGAGGATGCGCTGTGAGAGCACCGGCGTCGATCGGGATGGAAGGATGCTGTGTGGACCCCAAAGAGACGGATGGCGAGGGAAGGAAAGCAGTGACGGCGGGTGGACGAACTGAAGGGTCGATACGGCAGCGAGGTGTTTCTGCCCGGTCGTCTCGCGCTTGCAATGGAGCAGCAGCTGCAGCAGGGCCAGACGGTAGCCGAACACCGCAGCGAGCATCTGCCCGAGCTGGAGCAGCTTCGCTACAGCAACCGCACAAATTTGTGCGGAGCGCAGACGCAGCAGGCCCGTCTCGCTCTCCTGCGCCCGGCTTTTCTTTTCTTTTTGATTTTTCTTAGATATCCCCCTTTTTCTTTCTCTGGCTGCACAGCGCGTGTGGGGTGGGCTTGGCCAACGGCCGTGTGCGAATTGGTCACGGCGCGTCTTGATGAAGCGAGTCGTTGGGCCCTGCCGCCGCCGCCGCCGCCGCCGCCGCCG